AGAGCAGTGGTGTTGTACAATCCTGTGTGAAGTTGGCATGCATCATATATTACACCTACCACATGTCCCTGAAGAGGCAGGCTGTAAACCAGAAGGCTCTTGCCTTTGGATAGATTCTGGAGAACACACTTAAGTGGCTGAGAAGGGCTGAAGAACATGACAGTAGTTTCAGCAGCAGTCAGTTACTTAGCGGTCATGCAGGAGGCAAGTAGCATTATTTCAGCTAGGAACTGGTCAGTACTCTTGGCTTTCTGGACACAACAGCTGCTAATGTACTGCATATCCCCCTGCACCAGCACTGCACCATGTAGGTCTGCAAAGAGCCGTGAAAATATCTGCAACAGTGAAAATACTCTAGTCCTTGAGGGTGCCTATACAGCAAGGCTGCTCCGATGCACTGTAATTACAACACGTTAGAGCAGACTCGATTAACTGAGTCTGCTCTGACTTGATTTACTGTGCTCCAGCAGACTCCAGCATCTTGTGTATCAGCGTCCCCACACTGAAAAATGGCACTGGGGTGCTTTAACTAAAGCTCGTCGAATGAGCTCTAGTTAAAGTGCCCCCACTGCCATTTTTCAGTGTGGGGACGTTGATACACGAGATGCTTTGCGCACTTTAATTAGAGCAGCTCCGAGAGCCACTCTAATTAAAGAGTCCCTCCTTCCCACCCCATCCACTCCTAGAGCATGTGTATAAATGCCCTGGGATTTCATACAAACTTGGTCCCTGGCTTATTTTGGCAGTCAGGCACCTAAATCTAATGACGTGCTCAACTGCCCCCTGCATAAGCCCCTAGAGGACACCACCACACAGACATTCAAAATCAGCATGCTAGAATACCCAGGTGGAAAACTGCTCTGGTTTTTTGTATTGATTTGTATGGTTACTCTTACCCGTAGCAGCACTCATTTGATCAATGACTTTGTGCAGACTTTCTGGCCAGAGTTTCTGGCTCTCTTATAAACAAACTGTTGGTGAATCTGACAGGTGAGAGACCAGCAACAGCATGCCGTAGTGTGGGCAGGCACTGGGCCATGCCTATGTAGCTCACCCCTGACCTTCTACCCCTCCTCCTCCCTCCCATCATGCCATTTCTTGGCATCCTGGTACAGAGAATGCCAGGCAGGTCACCAAGTGCAGCACTTTGGTGCGCTGCACGGGTTAATGCCACAACAGTTTCACAAGGCTTTGCATCATGTTTTCCAGATAACACGCCAGCTGCCCACCTACCACACTGAGCATCTCCCATAACATGTACCCCTGGGCAGCAATAACAAGCTTTTCACAGGCCAGGGAGCATGGTTGCTTCAGCACATTAACAAACTATTTCCTGTCCTTGCAGTGGCAGGACACTGACAGTGCCCTTGTCCCCCTTTCTTATGGTAAGTTAAAAGCTGGTTTCGATGCTCTGAGTATTATGCCCGGTGTGTGATAGGTGTTCCTGAAGTTTTTAAGATGAGGTTAGACAAACACGTCTAGGATGCTTCAGACAGGGATGATCCTGCCTTGAGCAAAGACTGGACTAAGAGGGACCAGCTCCAGCTCTACTGTTCTATGATTTTATGACCCTTGCTACTACAGCATTCGCTGCCTGGCAGCCAAATATTGATTATCCTCATTAACACGCGCATTCCTACACCAGGAGCCTTGCCAGCAGCATCTCCTGGATCAGTAGCAAATGACCTTAACTCATATAAAATCATTTGAAACCTTTCCTTTGCCCCAGGAATCACTGGTCCAAGGAAAAACCTGATTTCTCACAAGTTACAAGCCAAATACTTGCTTGTCAATGTAATTAGTGACCTGAACAGTGTTGGAATCACAGCCTGTTCTTTGGAGCTGAGGTTGCTACCGATATAGCTTCCCAGTTTCTTAAAGGAAAGTGGGTTTGTGTCCTGCCTTGAGGCTCTACCATGCAGAGAGGAGACCCAAAATAAGCTATTTGTCTTTGACCTCTCCGCCTAGTTTTACACCGATCCTTCAGAGCGGGGGCAGGATGCTGCTGTTGGGGGAGGTGTTGCTGCCTATAGCTGGGCTAGGCTTCCCCCCTGGCCCCACAATCAGAGGCCAGCTTTATACAGTGAGCAATGATGCAAAGCCATAGTTCAGTGCCAGCTGCAACGCCCGGGGAGGGTTAGCCTTGCAGCTGGCAGCAAGAATTTCCTTCACAGCAGTATCCTACCCACACTCCATTCTGTGCATCCACTGAAAAGGCAGGTAGAGGAAGAGTCCGACTAGCAACCCTAAATGATTCACCTGCCTGAGTCATGGGAGGGGTAAAGATAGACAAAAAAAAAACACAACTGGTTTATTGTGCCATGCTCCTGCCTGGTCACACCTGCACAGAGTATGAGACCCAGGCCTGAGTCTGGAAATCATTTAAATATACAGCCTAAATCCATGAGACTGTAGGGTCTCTAGGGCAGGAAGCACCATTCTGTTTTACGCTGACACAGTCCTTAGCACTACAGGATCCTAGGGCTGTGACAGGCATTCAAGGCATGACCACAATAATACCATATTTTCTCACAGGCATACTCACCTCTTCGCCAAAACTGAGGTGTATGTGTTACATAGAGAAGCTGATTTTCTGCTCGAGATAGAAGCACCCTGCTTTGATTCTTGCTCCACAGTGCAGCAACTGTGGCATTACTATTTAGGCAGTTGAGAATCATTTGACTTAATGGCTCATTGTTCTTCACTCCATGGGTATTAAAGAGCACATCTCCTTTTTAACTGTCTTTGATGTTCCGCTAATTGAGTTAAACTTTCTTACAGCAATTTTCCTATCTGCTAGCTGCTCCTGTCTCCTCCTGCTTCACAGCCCTGGAGCCTTTTAGCTCTTTTCAAAATCACAGATCTACCTATGAAGACCAGAAGCAAGCAGCAGCTAGGGTTTCAGCTTTAGTCAAGCAATAAAAGGAAGATGAGTCAACTAAAGATTAGGTTCTGCCCCTGCTCTATGCAGCCATAATTTTGGAAAATTGTTTTTAAAAAGAAGAAAAAAAGATGCACATTATATGCTGGGGTGTGTTGTATGCAAGAAAATATGTTAATAAGTACCAATAATGCCACATCAAGACAATGTGTACATACATGACTCTTGCTGACATCAGTGGGACTTAGGCACTGTCTCTTAATAAGGACGTTTTCCTGAACCTGGACCTCAGGAATAGTAATAGGAGGGCCAATTTGTCTGATTTTATATAGTCAGTGAACTGGATTCATACCCAAGGGTATTTATTAACAGACTGCCTTTGCAGCCAGTACTTTATACAGCCCTACTGCTGTCCTTTCTGCTTATTTTTATCCAGAGAGAAATCACAAAATTCAAGTCTCAGCTGCTGTTCTGGTGTGGCCAGAGTTGTGGCCTGAGAGCTTTTCCAGCCTTTAACTGAAGGTGCACGAGCTTGAAATTTTAACAAAAGCACCTACCTTGCAAATATTTAACTGGGACAAAATTAATGGGACCAGGCAGGCTGCTGAACTAAGTGAACAGGCAGCAAATGAACAAACATGACTGAAAAGGGGAAGGGTTTATTAAGAATACAAAGGAGGAAGAGTTTGTTAATTAAAAAAAGGCAAGTGTTAGAGAAAAAAGGAAGAGGAGCTGGGATATAATTGCTAACATAAAAATATACATTAGTGATTCAGAACCATCAAGTCAGGCCTGCTGGGAGCCTCAGGAAGAGCAGGGCTTTAGTCAGTGATTCATCTTGTTAAACCAAGAGACCTTCAGTCCTTAGGAGATGCAAAAAATCTCTTCAGACCTGACCGCCTCACCAGGCGCAGGGCTCTACCATCCCCTGAGAAGGCCCTTTCTTTTCCCTACTGTCTTCATAACCCCAGGGCCTGGACCTGCAGAATCCTATGTCCAGGCTTCCCTCCATACACTGTGGTTGGTTCTTTTGGTTGGAGCTGCTCACAGCAGATACAACCACACGTGTCCATAAAGTCTCGGGCTTCAGTCTGTAGGTCTCAAGGAGATTCCTCTTTCAGCCCATGCTTAACTAGTGAGGTTCTCCCATGTTCCTCCTGACTTATCTTTGACTCTTCCCCACTACTGTCCATTGTGTTCATTGGTCAGTCTAATTTTCAGTCCAGATGTGATCCTAGAATGAGCTCCATGCAAGCAGACACTTCTGCTGACATGACACTGGCCGGGAGGTCATGGCAGGACTGTAACCGTAGACCTTAAGTACCAATGGGGATGTACCAGCTTCCCCAGGGCGTCCAGACAAGGTGTAGCACAATGCTCCCTCCTCCCAGGTATGATGCATTGCATCAGGTCTCCCTCCATCCTTTTCCTAAGATCGTAATCCTACCAGTTTTCCCACCAGGAATAGTGTCATCAGAGCGGAGGGGAGGGAAGAATAGTCAAGACAGACTGAATTTCTAAGATCAAGGGAAAAAACCCCCTTAGAATACAAAGGAAGTGAAAGAAAACCAAGATAGAACAGGAGCTTTCTTCACCTTTTAAAAATATTTTCTACAGTACCTCCACATCACTCCCACCCAATACTGGTTTGGCAACAAGCAAGGTCAGGCTCTTGTGCTAAGTGTCTGTTCTTTTTGTTATCTGTTCCTCCCTCACCAATGTGTCACATCCTGTCCCAACACCTAGACCAAGTCTCCTTGGGCAGGGCAGGGCAGGGCAGGGCAGTGCTAGGCTTCTTGTCCTTTGTTTCTATAGCACCTGGTACAAAGTGGGGGCCGTGGCATTTGCCTGGGATCCCTACTGTACTTCTGCAACAGACACAATGAACAGAAACAAGGACAAACTCCATTCTCAGCTTCTACCCCTCTACCTCAAACTCATTAAAAACTCTCAAAAAAACCATGCCTGGACTTTTTCTCCATAGTTTTGTAACCAGCTCAGAGTAGCTGAAATTTCAAAAGAATCTCACCAAAATATGCCTTATTTTCCGAACAGCTCAACCATCATGCTAGCTGCTCAGCGCATCACCCTCGTGCTACTGCCAGCCCTTTGGCCTTACCTGCTTTCCACCTGCTGCTGCAGCTCCTGGACCTTCTTGCAGATGTCCCCAGCTATCGCATAGGTCTTGCCAACTTTGGTGAAGAGGGCAGCCACCTTATCAGTCCGTAGGAAGCCGGCGGCTCTCCGTTTGAGCATGTGCAGAAGACATGCTTCTACCACACCTGGAAAAAGGAGTAAGACATTATGAGCGCTTTGCTCCTCCAAGTCTGTTTTTCCTGACAGAGAGAGAGAAGAATGTTACTTACTGACCCTAACCACATAACAGAGAGGGAGGGTGGGACCTAGACTCTATTCCTACCTCTGATGTGGACTCACTGTATCACTTGCCCATTGATGTACCAGGGATAATAATAGTATCTAATGCTGGGGTATAATGAGGTCTGCTAATTGCACTGACGTTTGAAATTAAGACCCGTGCAACCACGTTCTGCAGGAAACAGTATAAACTTATATTATCTTAAAACAGCACCTGCTACCCAGGCTCTGCTATCCTGGGGATTAGCTGCCCTTCTTCAACAGGCTGTTCCTGGGGATTAGCTATGAGAAGAAGATGTTGCTTTCTAGTCTTTGCATCATCCAGGAATGGAAAAACAGAAGGACGACCAGATTTCTCAGATAAAGTCGTGGACAGGCACCAGAGATAGATGCAGTGGCAGGTGCCCTGACACACTACAGATCATTTCAGTTCCTTAAAAGCACTGAAAGCAGACACCACCACTATCAGCACACATCACAGTGTGAGGAAATCCTTGACGCTGCTCCTATTGAAGTCCCCAGCAAAACTCCCCTTGACTCTACTGAGCAGATTTGTGCCTTATGTGCACGGAACACAGCTTTTACTGGTGACCATTCATGCCCAGTGATCTTAGGGAAAAGCGATGTCCTGAGTAACCAAGTACTTCTCCCAGTTTGGACAGATCAGGTCACTGCAATATGGAAAACTACTAGGGTTCCCCTTTCCCTAGTCTGCGGCTGTTACACGTGCTGATACTGCCACAACATTTCATCCCACTTTTATGCAGAACACAACAACTCGCCAGGCTGGGTCTCTACCTAACAGTCACAAGCCCAGGCTCAGACTTGGACAAATTTCCTAGTTCATCATATTCAACATCCCTATATATACCAGTCAGTGGTAGGGAATCAATTGCTGTGCAAAATCTCACTGAGGGACTCCGCATGCTCCCATCGCCACAGTCGCTTGATTTGTTGAAGCAAGGTAGGACAAACCACCCATTTATCCTCTTGTACGTATCGACCCACTAAACAACCCAACCAAAACAGAAAGCACGGCACTGTCCAAGTGCTACTCTCCCCCTGCGGAGAGGAGAAAAGAATAGACCACACACAACACGTATTGGGCATGTTGCTTACTGTGCTGCTGGAAGGTGCTCAGATCTATGGGTCGTATAAAAACATGGGGACAACAGAACAGATGTGATGTAGCTCAAGAGAGCACTGGGCTGGCTTTAAAGATCCAGTTCCCTGCTTCTTCTAAAGGCACATCCTGTCCCTAAACATGCACAACTGGGCAGCAGTGCTGCCACAGCACTTACCCCACAGAGCACTTTTTCATGAGCTGCCCTGCTTTATTGATGACTAATACAATGCTTAAAAGAAAATGAAATGGGGGAAGGGAAGGAAGAGGAAGAGAGTAAGTGTGAAAGCCAGAAGGGCTACATCTTTTTTGGAAGAGATGTAACCAGAGGTGTCTGGATCCAGCTGGGTCAATTAGAGCAGGAGAATTCTGGGGAAAAGAACTGTCTTTCTACAATTTTTACAGGCTTCATTGAGGGTGTGGGCTGGTTTGGTTGTGGTTTTTGAGGGGAGATGTTGTACATCAGACCCAGCAACTGGATGGCAGATGCAAATATACATCACTAGACAGTGGAAAAATACTGTCTTTCCTTCTTACCTCTCCTGGCATGGGAAGCATAGGATTTGTTCAACTCTCCTGGAAACCTGCAAGGAGAAACTTCCATTGTGGGGGTACCTGAGCCACTCTTACGTGACTTTTTGCGAGCACAGAGAATCCAAGCTTCTGGATAAGCAGTGCAAGAATTTGGTTCCACGCAGGTCCACGGCAGGAGGGAGAAAAAGATGGAAGTACTTGGTTCACCAAAGTGAAGCAGCACTCACTGTAGACTGTGCAGACAGTTAGCAGCACAAAAATACATTCTGGTCAGCTCTACTGTGCAGCCTCGGTTTGGCAACTTCTCGATTGTGAAAGAATGGGGCACCTCCTGAAATTACCACCTGCTTGTGGCACCCCCAAAAGCCATCACTCCCAGTCGTTTCTCCCATGGGAGTTGGCATGTAACAACGACGACACTTAAACTGTCGTGGTTGCCCTCTGAGTTGCCCCATCACTGGGATGAATGGAGAAGTTCACCCTTCTCTGGGCCATTGCTTTGGGCGCTCTTATGACTCACCTCTGCAACAGGTGCCCTCAACTCAGAAAAAGGAACTGTTCCCTCCATAACTTCAGACCACATAAGACAATCTTTGACCATTAGGAATTAGGATGAAATCTTAATTTTATCATATCTATATACACCAGGGTGTCTTGCACTACCCTCCAACACAGCATCTGGTGCAGGCTGCTGTCAGACTAGTGGGATAGCTGGACTACAGGTTTCATTCAGTCCAGCGGTTCCTATGTTTCCTTGCTTTAAGATCCTCAAACATCTTTCATCGACGGTTCAGACCTGAGAAGTTTGGGGGAGATGATGCACCTGCAGAGACATCCTGGCTGGAGGAGGGGGGGGGGGTCTGAGGCCTTGCTAAGGTTGTACCAGGGAGTTAGCTTCTCAGTAGATCTGCCCTCAGCCTTTTCATATAAGCTAATGCAGGCAGGGAATAACAGGAAAAAAGTGCCCACATCAGTGGTTAAATGTAGGGTGCAGGTGACTCATCCAGTCAGGGCTGTCCATAAACGGTAGAAATGGAGGACAACATCGCCCACTCACAGACAAGGCAAGACCCCAACCTCCGCAGCGTGCCTTCCCTCTCTTGTACACAGAAACACACCCCTCTCGAGTTGGGCTTCCAGCCTCTGAGCAACATTTTCCTGTGTTTTCTGACTGCAACTAACCATGGCTGTCCTGTTAACGTTGCCACATGACATTTTCATCACAAGAAACATGTTGCAGTCCATCTGCTCTAATACGCATTAGCATTTGGCAGCTAAAAGTGAAGAAAACCATATTTTTGGGGCATTCTCAGAGTCTAGTTCTTCCAGGGGGTGCGCATTTTCTACTGTATATGTATGGTCCCCATTGACATCCCATCCCAGCGGCTCCTGATCTTCAGGTAGTCTTTACATCCCCACAACAACACTGTGAAGTAGAGAAGTGCTATTATCCTTTCTTTGGAGATAGGGAAACGAAACAGCCACATTAAGGGGCAGAAGTTGAAAGGTATCTAGATACTTAAAAGGAGAAGCTGGGCATCTGTGGGATTTTTCAGAATTGCAAAGATATTAAATTCTCATAAAACAAACGCTAATTGGCCCACTGGCCCCTGCTCCCAGTATCTTCAAGCCAGGCTTTATGTTCCTCAATTTTCTAGAAAAAGTTAGTTTATTCCAGAAGATTAACTTAAAAGAAGTGATGGCTTCCAGCCAATTAAGAGGAAAAAGCCCTGTTTGCAATCAGTCTGTTCTTTGTTGGGAAAGTTATCGTCTAAACTGTCCACATATGACACAGTGGAAGAGGACTGACACATTATCCCAGAGGCATAGGCTCGAAATTAGAAAATAAACCTCAGCCTGTAATAAGAGAAAAGGAAATGTCTTTGACATAATGTTTCAAAGGTACTTTACACCAGTCAAATTAAAAACAAAAAGACTGCATGGAGATAGATGTTGGAGAAATGTGGTGATTTTATGCCTACCCAGATCTCTCAAATCACAGACTAGGGCTACTGCCCCTGAACCATCCTTCTCCTCCTACCACAGCCACTGTTTGATGTGCAGACTACTCTCACAAAGGGTCATTTTTTCCTCCTAATAATTTCTGGGTCACACACACATACTGCCCAGCACCCTTGGAGTTTGCCTTCTAGATCTCTCCAGTTTCTCCAACATTATCCCCAAGGGCCAGTTTCTGGTTTGCAATTATTTTAAGCAAAACAATTTGGCCAAAACCCAACTGCTACTTTTACTGCCACTGGGAAAGCCTGTTTTGGAAACGTGCACCATATCCGATGGGTTTCCAATGCAACGTGCTATTTAAAAAGATGGTATTGCAGGCGGCATGATAGATCAGCGAGGACTCTCGTGTATAAGGCCCTTCATCAAACCCAGCTTCCATTCGAGTCAACAGAAAGATGCTTCGCTTCCTTAGGAGGTATATCAGACTCCTTGAACCTTTGAAGATTTTGCTTCTGAAGCCTCTGAGCCATGGATTGGCTGGCGCCAGATTTGTTCTTTCCTCTCCCAGCCTCCTTGTAATTGAGGGTGAAGTGATGGTGGACTTTGCATTACAATTGGTCACTTTACTTTCCTAACCCTGCTTTTTATTTTTTTTACCTTGCAGACGGTGGGTGAAGCAATATCCCCTTTTCTATACGGCAGATTGGGGTCCCGACTCTGAGAACATAGCCTGTGCATCACAGAGTCTTCAGCACGAGGAGCCATGAAAACTGGTTACATAGGTGGGGAGCAGGAGAAAGCTGCATACTTTTCAGATACTGAACTCCACTCGGCCACAAACCCCAGGCAAGCCCTAAGGGAAGCTCAGGCAGGTACTGCAGTATTTTGTTAGCCGAGGGCACTGCTGCTGACACTTGCATTGTACCATGAGCACCCTCTGTGACTGGCACAAGGATTCCTTTCAAGCTGAACTAGGGAGGGTAAAATACATTGTCAGCTTGCTGGCAGGCAGAACCCAAATAGTACCTTCTTTCACTGAGTCTCCTCCCTCCCCATCTGAGGTATCATCATAGTCTGCTTGGTTTCATTTCACCAGCCACCAACCTCCCAAAGGCAAAAACTGACTTAGCAATGCACTCTTCTTCTCTGGGCCCATAACCTGTAATTCAGGCAGCACTTAGCCCACTTCTGTGACCAGGTCTCGAAGATACTTAGGCAGCACCTTCTGGGAGCTATGGAGGGAACAAGGGAACAACAGGACCCATCTATATCCAACAGCCTCCAAAA